AGGATTCCGAGGTGCATTCCAAGTATTCCAGGAGTTCCAGCAAAGGTACTCGCAAAGTAAAAATTGGATACCCGTGATACCTATATGTCTTCAATATCAATCCCCCTGAGATTGGGTTTCTGTTTCATGGCGTGAGTTTGTGTGCCGGAATGGCCCCCCTTGCATACCATTGGGATTTGATGGATGAACTCGACTTCTGTGTTTCTCCTGGAAACCGCTGCTAAGGTATTCGCCCTGTTTGCTTGCCACGATCGTTGCCCTGCTGCTTTCGTCACACTTCTACCCGATTCACACGGCTGATTTCGGATGCTTTCCGTGTCGCTGTCACCAAAAGGATCACGGTGCAAAGCACCTTGCGAGTTGCAGCCTTGTAGGCGTTCTTCACCTCAAAGATGTGAGTTTGAGTGAGCAAAGCATCACAAGTGTTGCAGACGATGTCTTCACCTCTTCGAGGGGCTTGCAACGGTTATCGCTCTCTGGCAATCGGTTGTCATTTTTACCTGAGAAGGTGTTCGCTCCTTTGGACAGCTTGCAATTGCTGGACTTGGGCCGCTTGGGTTTGAAGCACTTAGAGTCTGACACATTTGCTGGGTTGTCAAGTTTGAGAATCTTGTCCCTCAGCCAAAATCGTTTGAACGCATTGCCAAGAGACTTGCTGCGCCCCATGCCAGCCCTGCAGCAATTGTTGCTGGGGAGTAAATCTGATGAGAAGGGCAAAGGGATCGTTGATGGAAACGAGCTGAGCATACTCCCGCAAGAGCTTTTGCAGCACAGCCCGCGGCTACAAGTTCTCGATCTGAATAAAAACAGGTTGAGCTCGCTGCCAAATCACATCTTTGATAAGACTCCTTTACTGCAGACGCTCGACCTTGCCTCAAACAAGCTGACTGAATTGCCAGGCGAAATCTTTTCAGGGCTCAACAAACTCCAGGAGCTGGACCTGAGTCGGAACACTCTCAGTGAGCTACCTGCCGAAGTCTTTTCCGGGCTCGGCAAGCTCCAGGAGCTGGACCTGGGTTGGAACAGACTCAGTGAGTTGCCTGATGAAGTTTTTTCCGGGCTCATCAACTTGCAGGAGCTTGACCTGCAAATCAACGATCTCAGCGAGTTGCCTGCTGAAGTCTTTTCCGGGCTCGGCAGGTTGCAGGAGCTCCACCTGGGGTACAACTCGCTCACTCGGTTGCATGCTGGAGTCTTTTCAGGACTCAGCAACTTGCAGGAGCTGGACCTGGGTTCCAACAAGCTTAGTGAGCTACCTGCTGAAGTCTTTTCCGGGCTCAGCCAGTTGCAGAAGATCAACCTGCATTATAACAAACTTAGTGAGTTGCCCGCTAATATCTTTTCCGGGCTCGGCAGGTTGGAGGAGCTCGACCTGGGTTGGAACAGACTCAGTGCGTTGCCTGCTGAAGTCTTCTCAGGTCTCAGCAGCTTGCAGAAGCTCAACCTGGGGTACAACTCGCTCACCCGGTTGCATGCGGGAGTCTTTTCAGGACTCATCAACTTGCAGAAGCTCGACCTGACTGACAACTGGCTTAGTGAGCTACCTGCTGAAGTCTTCTCAGGGCTCAGAAATTTGCAACATCTCGACCTGGGGTACAACTCGCTCACCCGGTTGCATGCGGGAGTCTTTTCAGGACTCATCAACTTGCAGAAGCTCGACCTGACTGACAACTGGCTTAGTGAGCTACCTGCTGAAGTCTTCTCAGGGCTCAGCAGCTTGCAACTCAAACCTGGGGTACAACTCGCTCACCCGGTTGCATGCGGGAGTCTTTTCAGGACTCATCAACTTGCAGAAGCTCGACCTGACTGACAACTGGCTTAGTGAGCTACCTGCTGAAGTCTTCTCAGGGCTCAGAAAGTTTGCAATCTCGACCTGGGGTACAACTCGTCACCCGGTTGCTGCGGGAGTCTTTTCAGGACTCATCAACTTGCAGAATCTCGACCTGACACTGACAACTGGCTAGTGAGCTACCTGCTGAAGTCTTCTCAGGGCTCAGAAATTTGCAACATCTCGACCTGGGGTACAACTCGCTCACCCGGTTGCATGCGGGAGTCTTTTCAGGACTCATCAACTTGCAGAAGCTCGACCTGACTGACAACTGGCTTAGTGCGTTGCCTGCTGAAGTCTTCTCAGGTCTCAGCAGCTTGCAGAAGCTCAACCTGGGGTACAACTCGCTCACCCGGTTGCATGCGGGAGTCTTTTCAGGACTCATCAACTTGCAGAAGCTCGACCTGACTGACAACTGGCTTAGTGAGCTACCTGCTGAAGTCTTCTCAGGGCTCAGAAATTTGCAACATCTCGACCTGGGGTACAACTCGCTCACCCGGTTGCATGCGGGAGTCTTTTCAGGACTCATCAACTTGCAGAAGCTCGACCTGACTGACAACTGGCTTAGTGAGCTACCTGCTGAAGTCTTCTCAGGGCTCAGAAATTTGCAACATCTCGACCTGGGGTACAACTCGCTCAGTAAGTTGCCTGCCGAAGTGTGGGCCAATCTGTTTGCAGGGCTCAGCCACTTGCAGAATCTTGACTTGAGCAACAACGATCTCAGCAAGTTGCATGCTGGTGTCTTTTCCGGGCTCGGCAACCTGCAGACGCTTGTCCTCTATGGGTGCAGGCTGAACGAGTTGCCTGTCGAAGTCTGGGATCATCTGTTCGCAGGGCTCAGCAAGCTGCAGGTGCTCTGGCTGCAGTACAACAAACTCGGCGAATTAGCCGCTGAAGTCTGGGCCAATATGCTTTCAGGGCTCGGAAGTCTGCAAAAGCTTTGGCTAACCGGCAATGATCTCAGTGAGTTGCCGGCAATTTGTTCGGCTATAGAGTGTGTCAACTGAGATGTCCGGCCATGCGGATGAAGGATTCCTTGTTTGTTTCGGCGAAAATGATGGGGTGCTCTGCCATCTGTCCGCTTGATAGGGTTGTGGTCACTTTTTTTCCATATTGTGAAATGTGATGAGGCTAGAACTGGTTCCTATTTTTTTTTACAGTATCACACACACAGTCAAGCGACGAGATTTCACATTTCACCCACTTCCAACAACCCCTTTGAATCATTTTGAATCTAGTTGCAATGCATTTCATATGGTTTGTCCTCATGATATTTATTGCATTCTATTCTTGTTTCGTGATCTTTTGGGGCGTTTTGAGAGTAGCACCTGCATTGGGCGACCAAGGTCCAAGGTGGCAGTGGCACCTGGCGCGCAACTGGAGAGACGTTCGCACACCGAGGCATCGGAATGTCCAGTCGAAGTCATCACAGGTATGAAAGTCATTTTCATGAAGCTTTCGGTTCTGGTGTGATCTCTGTAAGTTTTCAACCTCCATTGTTGGGATGTCTTCTCGGGTATTTGCGGCTTGCCTTTGCTTGGAAACTCGTTTTCAGTCTTTGTAGGGTTCAAGATTGGCCCTCTTGTGGTGAAAGACATCCAACAAGAAAAAGACAGTCTGAAGGGAGCAGAACAGAAGTTGTTTCTTTGAAAAACGTTGAAAGAAGCCGCTGAGACAGGTGTAACCACTGTGTCGACCACGTGAAGCGCTGAGTGCTGCCATTCGGCACGCTGCGCCTTGGACCAGGCACCAATGGCTCCAAATGGGAACATCACGCCGAGAGTTTCTGAGTTTCGACAAGTTGTGGGTGTATGGCCATTCCTTTTAAGAACATGACAACATCATACAACAAAACACCATAAAACACCATTTGAATCCAGAATCTGGTGGGGGTCGATCCACTGGATCAAAATCCATGGCTTAGCTGGGAAAAAGGTGCTCGGACTTGACCCTGAAAGATCTCAAATGTTTTGGTGCATTACCTGAGGAAAGCTTTGCAGATAGTGACAATTGCCAGCGTTTCTACCATGGAGGAGTACACGCTTACAACATCTTATCAATGCCAGAACTTGTATGGAAGTTCAACACCTTCAAATTGAGATGGTTTCCATTGTTTGCGGTGTTTGCACCACTCAATGTGTGGACCGATGAAGGACAACCATGTGACTATTCTGCAAGCTGCTCCATATTAGCGGCTTTTCGCATGTGTACACACCATTATACACAACTGTGGGGATTCCGATAGACACCAGTTATCCTAAGGGCGCCTTATCCAAAAGTCCATAGTTTGCTGGGATTATGTCCCCAGTGGAAATGGGCTTCGCACGGGGAAAAAGATGAGCCTGGCTTTATCCCAGCGCTGCAGGAAGTTCACGGCAGCGGCTCGAACGCCCAGCACTGCGCGATTGACGAGTTTCGAGAGTCGTGGGGTGAGGACATGGCCAGGGATTTAGAGTTGATACCAATTGACATACTACTAGTAACACAATTTTTTATCATGAAAACAACGGGATTATGACCTTGATTATCATTGGATATCATTGGCAGCAACATTTCTGGAACATCTGGAAGATTGCATACATTCCCATCATCTTTCAAGCACTATGCGGCCCATGGATTTTGGACAGGTCAACTGCATTGAGAGACAACGATTTCCGAATTTTCCGTTGAGGCTCGGTATTCCAAGAGAAACCCGGGTCCACCTTCCCTGTCCCAGAGAGATGTTGAGGCCCCCGGTGCAGGGAGGAAGTGCTTCCAACCCCAACATGTATCCTTTGGTTGTGAAACCTGGTGATAGGAAATCCTGCTTTTACAGTTGATTTTCCTATTGAAACATTGGGTTTTCACGGCCAGGCTACGCTATTGGAGGATGTACATGTCAGAAGTTGGATTATAGATGATCATAATATGACTTAACACAGAATTTCTTTTGTTTTGTCTCTCTAGGATCCCGTAGAATCCTTTAGGGTTCAGGGGTGACACGAACTCAATGCCCATCATTTTGCTGTCAGTCGAAGAGCTGCAGGACTTCTCGGCCTTGGTCCTAGACGAGCGCGGAAACCAAGCATGAAATATCTTTGATGACGGATGTTCCATCGTCTAGAATATATCTATATAGACCAAGACCCTCCAATGATACAGAAATTTCTGTACCGAGTTTTTTCTGCCCCTGCCATGTGGTTTTCGCTCGTTTGGTAAAAAACGTACGTTTTGCCAAAAAACGCTCGAACTGTTTTGGGATACCCAAGTTGGCCCAAGTACACTGCCCAAACCATCCCATGTGCCATCACAGCAGCTGCCCTGCCACTTTGTCCACTTCCAGAGCTGGCTACTCACAGGTCAGGGACTCAGTGTTTGAGTCGGGTGTTGAAATATCGTTTATATTTGGCAAGGCATCGGGTGATGCATCTCCATGTAATAAGATTACCAGCATTAAGCCGGCGCACCACTCTGCACACTTTCCCCACAAAATCCTCGTCGGACCAACATGCAAAACCTGGGCTGGAAACAAAGATAAGATATTGGCCAATGATCTAACAGTCACTAGTACAGCTTTTAAAAAACATTACTATCTCCTTTATAGGTGGTCAATCAAAACATAATTGTTTGGATGGAGCAGCTCAACGGAGACATGATTTTGTCTTCCCTGTTCTCGGCCGCAAGCATCTGTAATTCCATGGATCTCCTCAGCAACCAGCCATATACTGATGTAAATTTTATGTATATAAAGACCAGTAAGGGGGCCCATTATATAACTCTTCAGGGGATATTAAAAAAGGACCCAATTGTTAAGAAAGCAGAGTGTCGGGGAGTGGGTGTAGAGGTGAAGTTTGGGGCGAATTCGAAACAGGGCCCATTGCCTCGAGTGGCAAAGCGAAGCTAATCCGGCGTAGCCTTCCTGAGCTTTGGGCACAATATCAGGGTTCCACAGCACTAGGCCCCATATGTGTTTTTTTTTTCAAACAGTGGTTGTGCAAGCAAGAGTCAGAGGAATCAAAGCCATGGAGAAAAATTGGTTGGGCGATGGCCTGGTTCATCCAGATTCCCTGCTTGTAAAGGTCCGAGAAAAACTTGTTGGCACTGTTCAAGGTCCATTGCAAAAGTTTCAGCAGATCAACATCTGCTGCATCCTTGCTAGGTTTTGGAAAAATGATAGCTTGTATGTATGGTGATGCCTCTTGATTTCTTTTAAGTGGTAATATTTACCCCCAATGACCCCACAATGACCCCACAATAGATAAACATATTACATTGGGGTGCAATTCCCCTTGTTACAAAAAATATATATTAAATATATATATTTATTGGGTGGTTTGGTTGTGTCCCAAATAAAATGGAGTTAGGACCACACCCATTGAAAATATGTTAGCCCTATATTGCGCATATTTTTCCCAATGAACAATATATTTTTGAACACAAGTTCGGGGGCAATTCCATTCCAGTTCCCAATAGCGATATTTTTGGGTAGTTTTTTTAATTGTCCCAACTTGAATGGTGTTACAACCATACCCGTCATAGATTTGTTGCCAAAAAAAATATACACAACACCCTCCAAAGTACAACATCATAGTCATCCAGCTTGCTCAACTCCCATCCCAGCCATTTGCACAACAAGGCCGTGTCATGGGCTCGGCCAGTTCCCATCGGGAAGTCAAGGCTCCTCGCAAGCAGCACCGGGAACAGGAGAGACTGAAGCAGGCTAAAATAAACACCCCACAATTTTTCAATACCCCAAAATATATCTAATATGATCAACAAGCAGCGTTTTGACTTTGAACTTCTTCTTTTCGAATGATTTGATCGAAGGTGTTTTGTGGTTCTCGCGACACCATGTATCAAACTCATCATGTGCACGATCTAGACGCTTTTCAAAACTGCCATCCCCAAAAATGGACATGCGACAGGCAGCCATCAAAGAACTGGCTGCAAGGTCACCACCAATACCCATGTTGAAATTGTGCATGAGGTCTGGTCGTATACAATCTGGTGTGGCACATCCAGGGATTGATCTCAATGGGGAAACCTTGTTGGCCTTGAAGGGTGAAGGAATACCTCCAGACCAGGTACGAACTTGGCCTTCAGGACTCACATCCCACCATTCCTTAATCACAAATCAAAAGGGTTCCCCAATAGGCCCTAAATTGATGGGATTATTTCTGAAAATAGTACCTTATTTCTTTGAGGGTTTAGAATCATGAGGTTGTAATGGTGGTCAAATGTCCAAAACCAATATCCAAAAATTTGACAAATATATTTCAGGGAACCATCGACGGACAAAGATGGCACACACGAACTGAGCGAAACCCACTAGCTAAATGGAATGCTTTACGGACCCATGGCCAATCCCCTTTGCACCCTGCCACTGCAGCGAACCACCTGGTCTCATCATCACCAACCTGTAGGGAAGATTTTTGGGAAAATCATGCAGCAATGGGTCAAATTGTGTTTCCCTGTTACTATATTAATATGTCAGATATTCTCATCATACCCATTTTACTGTTTCATATTTGAAATAAAAAATACAAACAGTAAACATATATCACATATATATATATATATATATATCTGTTGAAGGCATGTCCTGGCCTTGACAGGCACGCCTTCAGTGAAAAGACCACACAGATCATCAGCCAGGCACCGGTGCAACTCGTCAATGGTTGCATCATTTTTGCAATACCATGTTGATGGAAGCAAGCTGAATAAGAGTCTTGTGGTAAAGGAATGCCTTAAGGACAAGATCTCTGGACAATTATAAAATATCAAATGTATTGCGGGTATAAAACCACAAAGTTTCTGATATTTTTACCTAGTAGCGTAGTAGAATTCAGGCAGTTGGGTCCAGTGTAAGGAATCATCAGCTGGTAAGACAACACCAAGATGGGTGTTTTCCCCAAACCACGTCCTTCATCTCCATGCAAAGCCACCGGCACTGTCCTCATGCGCTGAGCAGGGGGTTGCTGGTAGATGGGGTGGTCCGGTTGCACCAAAGCGAAGTTATCCCAGAATTCCTTCAGCATCAACTCTGCCTGTAGGAGTCCCTCATCAGTCCGGGGATCGTGGCCACCCAAGAGAAATTTTGGATAGGTTCGAAAAATGGATGCCATCCAACTAGACAGATATATGCACGGGAACTTCTCCAACCGTTCTTTGCTACGACGCTTTCCATGCCGTCCCCGAACTTTCCGACGGATTGGGATCTCAGGTGTTGATATCTTGACATCGAACAGTTTCCCATCCCGATGCAAAAACCGATGGAAATCTCTTGATGCATTTTTCCCTGTTTTTCCACTCTTGGTTGCCCTGAAGCGAGCCAATTTGTTCACCTTCGGGTCAGTCACACCTTCAGGGGGGCAACATGGACCACTAGGCCATATATGTAATCATGGGCTACAATTATCATTTTCAACATATATTCAAAATATTTATAACACCAGCGGTTTTTGAAATGAGTACCTAGTTTCCGATCCCTTTTGGCTGCAACAGCTGCCAGCCGAATCACACCAGTCGAAGAAGAAGCCTCAGCCGGGCCAATAGGGTGCCATAGGGTATATATTATTTTTGTTGGTCCGATTCATGTTTTGGGACAAGGAACCCCTACTTCTGCATCTTGGAGTAACGCATCAGCAAGGTCACCACTTGAAGAATTGCCATCCCCTGCCAGAGGTTTGTGTGAGACAAACCAGGGCCCAAGATCACTTAGATACCAACTGCCAACTGAGCCAGGCCTTGCGAATCACCGAGATCACTTTGCTGATCCTCAAGGCCTGCGTGGGTTGGAAACATACCAGGCCACCACCGGACAATTATTATTTTACATATATGGTTCAAGTGTGGTTGGGGGTGTTGGTCAAGTTGTTGAAAGAAAGTAGTCATTGTTTTTGTGAAATATTAAATGCAAATGAGGTGACATGCACAGTTGGCCCATTTCATTTTTGATCTCAGCCATCGGTCCACCAATCTCGCGAAAAGTTGCTGGCAAGCGTTTATCAACACTTCAGCAGTCCCATGTAACCGGTATGTGACATTGTCACCACCAAACCCCAAAGAACAACAAACATGACTGATGCATCGATCAATCTTTCTTTGCCTTTTTGGACTTCGATTTGGAGGCCTTTGGCTTCTCAGAACTTTTGGGTTTTTTACCCCCTGAGCCATCAGTGTCAGATCCCTTCTTATCCTTCTTCCCCTTGTCTGCCCCAGACTTGCCCTTGCCCTTCTCGCTGCAGGCCGCCGACTGCGGCTTGATGTTCCTCAAGGCAGGACAAACCAGGTGGGATCGAGCTTCTGGATTTATATGTATGCATATATATATATATATATATGTAAGTAAGTAAAATATATATATATATATATTCGCACGGCTCAATGTATACTGGAAAAACTATTCCAAAAAAAACTACCCCTTGGGTGGTATTTTTTTTGGATGTAGAGCTCAGTTATAGTTCTGATTGCATACATGGGTCAATTATTTGTTATAATTGAAATTCAAAAAAGGCTCTTGCTGCGGGTGAGGTAATTGTTCAAGGTGACATCGGCTTTGGTGCATGCCGCGAAATCTGTCATGATCTCTTGCTTCTTGTTGTCCAGCGAACTGGCAAGCCCAAGAGAAATCAAATATAAAATAAATGGTGGTATTTGAAGTGAACATGTCTTGGTAAACATAATTCCTGTGGTGGGCCACACCTGGTCTCACTTGCTGCCAGGTAGTCTGCCTCCTTATCACTGAGCTGTCGGTACTTGTCCTCCAGGGTCTTGATCAGGCTGGCAATGTTTGCAGCCATCCTGGGCCAACCGATATGTATCTAAACTAATCAAGGGATGTATATATAGGATGGATAGATAGATAGATCGATAGATAGATAGATAGATAGAAAGATAGATAGAAAGAAAGATAGATAGATAGATAGACAGATAGATAGATAGATACATGGATACATAGATACAGGGATACAGAGATACATATATAGACTAGATAATATATATATATATTACATATATATGATATTTAGCATGACTTGATGCTCCAAATCGACTGCAAGAAGTATATATGGTTTCTGGGAATGATGATAGCTAGGTCCCTTTTACCAATGACCTCTGGGCCTCTGTTTTAGGGATGAACATTGGTCCGAGACACTCTTTCGCCCGAGGGTGATCCAGTTTTTCCAGCTTTTCCTGCCAGAGGGGCAGAGTAGAGATGCTGCTGGTGTGTTATGGTTGGGGGTGAATAGAAATTATAGCTGCCCAATATAGTCCTGTTGCACTTGTGCATTGTCGACCTTCACCCCCAAGCACTTGATGAACGAAGGTAAGATGCTGAATGGTGACTGGTTCTTCTGCAGAGTCGGGAAGACAACTTGCCTAAGTAAGACAGGAACACAAGACTGACCATCGATACAGCTAATCAGCTATTGTTTTTTTACGCAATTGATTGGACAGCTGTTCATATAATATAGGATATATAATTATATATATATAAGTTAAGCTACCCTTTGGTGCTCCCAGCAGACGCAGCCACAGCGTGCGCTGTGGCCTCTTTCACTGCCCGCTCAGAGTCACCAGCATTGCCCTGGTCAGGAACTGCTGGGAACTGATCTTCAGGGACAAGGTGGGAGGCCAAGAGCACACCATCAGGCTCCTGCGGGAACAAAACCCCAATAGGCCACAAACATTGGGAACTTGGTGGTGCCTATGGTATAAATATGTACTTGGAGAATTCACTGAATAAACCAACAAATATTATGGATATGTCCATTCGATTTAAAAAAACACACATAAATTGGATAAGTAATTTGTACCACCCCGTATCCTCACATTCCGCTTCGCCAGTCCATTCCATCATGTCCCCATTCTCGGTATGGCTACCAAACGTTTCAGCAATAACCAACTTCGCTTCGTCTTCCCCATGCACCGGGTTTTTTCGGATCAAATTCCGGGAAGATGCCCAGCTCCAGGAGGAATCGATCATAGACCTGGGCGGGGTAATCGATTATTGTTGAACATCACCAAAAAAATAACAAACAGGGGCTTTCTTATTGCTGATTTTTTGTTTGGGGATGAACTGGAAATGCAGGTTTGGTTTGCATGCTGCCAAATATCTTCGAATATTTGCAAACATCAGCCAGGTAGGACTTTGTCACCCAGCGCCCCTCTTTGCCATCAGACTGGGTCCGCTTTGACCACTTTTTAACTTGCACCTCCAAATCACGGAAGTTCCCATATTTCTGCAACAGGTCTTTGAGCTTGGAACCTGTGGCCAGGAGGTTGATAAATAAATATTATATCAGTCCGATGTTTCATGTATGAACAATGTTGCACTACTGCAGAAGTTATAAAGGTTGGGTATAGAAGAAGCCAAAGGACGTCCGGTTTCTGACTTCCAAAGCTCTAAGCATTCTTTGCTTGCTGTCACCTTCTTCTTGGATGTGGTGTCACAGTATCGTCGGATCCTGGGTAGGGAGTATGTCACATGTGTAGGGCTCTGTGGTGACCCTTCCACAAAGACAGAAATGTCATATACATATATACATATCCTAAAATGGTAGTACCCCCAAATTACCCATGTTATTTTCTTTTTCCGTTGTGCTGTGGGGTAGCCCCATTTATAGACCCCTAATGTATATGCAAACCATGTCTGCATGCAACAGCTGTATGCCAGCTAGGCGCTGGTGGTAGTACTTGTCAAACTTGCTGATCTGCTTGTTTGGAATGAGTGGCTTCGCTTTGGGATTCTGAGTTGAACCCGGGGAGTATCCCAAGGAAATGTCATCATCCCCAGACCCCGCATTCAATGGAGTCTTTGGCACAGCCTCTGTGCTCTCACCAGGCACCTCACGCTTGGGAGTTTCAACTTTGTCTCCATCGGTGGGACCCTCAGAGGAGTCCGCGAGGGTAGAAGGGAATGGAGGCATCCGTTGGGATTTCTCAGCCTTATGGGCATCAATCCTCCAAGCCGATTCAATCTGCATCTCATCAGGGGACGATTCGAAAGAACCACCAGTCGTGTGTGGGATGGTAGACGCCGAAGCCAACCGCTTGAGAGGGTTGCCAGCCACAAACTTACCCGTGCTGCTAGCAATTGCAGGGGCACCTGCAGGTTTCTTTAAAAATTCCAAAAGGCCCATAAAATATCAAAGTCGAGGTGTTTTAAAACCAGTTGGGTCCCCTTTAGTCTAAACCCATCATAAGGTAGATCCACCCCCAAGCACCCCAAACCAAACGTCACCTGGCACTCCTGCTGAGGAAAGCTTGTGGCAATCCTTCTTCGACGAGGACAGCTGCGTCTGCATTGCGGCAATCCTTTCACGGGATTCCTGGGCGATCATATTAATATTATATTATCCAAGGCCTGGTAGGGGATAATTGCAAATGGGATATGTTGCATGCATATAAAAACCATAAATCAGACTAGAAACCTTGATTCGGGCTTCCAAATCGATAGGCAGTGCACCACTCTTCTCAGGTGCCATTGTGGTAGCGATCCCTTTGACTAATGTAGCACAAGAGGTTGAAGGTACGGGCATGCTGCTTGACCCAGACTAAGAGTACAGCAGGCATCATATAGCAAAAATGGTTCGATACACTTTTTGAATTTGCGGCTTTTTGCACTTTTTTGTGGAAATTTGCGCTCGTTTTGCGGATATTTTCGCTCGAATTTTTCTGCCAAGTTCTGCTGATTTGGGTCTAAAACCCCGAATTAGCAACATCGAATTTTTAGCTAAAAGACTTTGCCTGAATTAGCAGCAGGACCGGTTGTATTCCTCTCGCTCTGAATCTGGCACACAAACCTGGGCCACAAAGCGATGAGACATGTCCAGTACCCCAGGCTGTATGAACAACTTATAAAATGCTACCAGAAAACAAATTCAGTCAGCTCTTTGTCAAAGGATGCCATTGTAGAGGTCCATGATTCCGGGATGGCCACATGTCGGTTGTGGTACAAATATTTCCACACTTCACACATCGACGCATCGATCCATGCATCCAGCAGTGGCAACTTGTGGAACAATTCCCTATCTGTATGAGAAACATTGACAGGGTGTTTATGTCTCATGTGTCCTGGTAGTCCTCGACGGCCTTCAAAACATTCCAATAGTCTTCTCGCAAATCCTTCAGGATAGCACCTGGCAAAAGGCAAGACCCTGTCTGGCAGCTTGGAAGGGCTGGGCTGGCAAGGTGTCAGGGGATGTAATAAAAAAACAACTAAGATGTAGACGCGGACTGCTTCAGCCCCACTGTTCCAGTAAACTTGGCAACACCAGCTTTGTTCGTGTAGCGACCTGAGTGAGGGGCTATATATATATATATATTTATTTATTACGGCATCTATGTGTTTCTCGGTTGCTCAGGCACAGGCGTGTTGTTTGAAGTCTGGTGTTCTCCTCTTTGAACTTTTTGGTAAGGGGTCCCACATTGAGGCCAGCTATCCAAGAACCATTTGAATAAATCTCCGTTGGCTTGCTGGAAGGGGCACCAAGCAACATCATCCAAAACCGGCATTGGTAAGCCTTAGTGGACAGACATGGATCCCAGATCACCCAGCTATAATAAAATATACAAGCTGTAAGAACCATTAAACCGGGTATCATATGGCATTACAAGAAAAATAAACATATCCCAATTAAGGTTGGTTTCACACACTGTGATTGAGCGGGTTCCATTTGCCCACCAAAAATTGAAGGGTCCCATTTGCTCACCAACTATACCATTAACCGATTTGATTTAAGCCCCAAATACCCACCAGTAAGATTGAGGGGGTTCCACAGATCAATGATCAATGATACCAAAAAAATTGCAATATTGGGTCCAAAAATCATAGATGGTTTCATTCACAAACTTCTCCCACCGTCGGTGTTTTCGCAAAAGCGATCCACCAGGTTGTTCCAGAACAAGGTAGCAATGTTTTGCCACGATGACAAATCCCAAAAGGACTATCCTTGGTTGGGGCAATCATTGGGAAAGAGGTTTAGGGGGAACTTGATCCTATATCATATAAATCTAAAATGATTCATCATATTGAATTTGGCCATGCTTCCGACTTACTGTCATCTCAGCATTGGAAACAAATTCCAGATGGAGGGCCCCTGAAATATTTATGATTGAACGCAAAGAAGTACCTCGTGCAGGAACCCCCCACGATCCACATTCTGGCCCCATGAGGTTCACCGCTTCTGGGAATTCGCATAGGACTGCCCATAGCGCAAGCCTCGGCTGGGATGCTAGGTGATCCACACGGGGATTACTGGATTGTTTGGCTGGCAATATGGAACAGTATTAATTCATTCAAGAAACAACCACCCCGCAGGGGATAGAAAATCCATTGTCCTTTCACCCTTGAAGTACAGTTCGTCTATGGTTGCGCATTTGTATCCATGGGCATTCCTGAGCTGTGAGATCAATGAAAATGAAGCTCATGAATATATGTGTTTACTTAAGATTTGAATGTGTGGGATACATCAACCACAGTGAAAGTTCCAAACTTTAGTGGCAGCAGCACCACCAGCAAATAGGTCAAGCAGATGAAACCGGGGCTGAATAGGCGGCAGGTTGGTGCTCCACATCAAAAGGAGCGCTATGCCCACCAGTATCTGATCAACAGGGCAAATCAAACACATGGATTATTTCCATCATGTTTTACCAAAGGCAAAATTTGAATTTGAATTGCCGAAAAAAAACCTAGCCTTCGGAGCTTTCAAATGGCACAGATTGACAACTATGGATTCGCTCTCCATAGCTCGAGGTGGGGATGGAACTGGCCCTTGGAAAGGCTATTGTGCCAAATTGCTGGATGCTAAAACGAATACAGGTGTGCCTAAGCATTGCGTGGGTATCCAGTCCACCAAGCAGTTTGAATAGCATAATATGAAGATTGTACCTGGCTATTCTTTTTGTTTTTTTTAGTCGTGATGAATATATACCAATTATTACCCATTGATATGTGGTTCCAAACTGGCTACTCAAAGGGGAAAAAGGACACTTGATTTTGAGTCATCCCCATCCCCATATATATATATATGTAATAAATATAATATAATATAATATAATATATATATTATTATTATATACATATATACCCAAACTTACTTGAAGCTGCATGCAGGGCTGGCACGGCTGAGGCGGGGAGGTACCTCCACAGCTGGCCGCTCGCAGCGCCCAGCCCTCAGCGACCATGAAGACACTCACCTGCGTAGGGCATCAACACAGGATCCCAAAACTTGCAGGGGGGGTTCCCATTGGTTTTTGGCTGCAAATAGGGTATGGTGGAATATCCAAGTTCAACGATCTTTATTGTAACAACCAAACATTGTATAATATAAACATCTAAGTCCAACCCCAGGTGTGGTTCCCACCATCCAACCTCCATAATCAAATATGGGGGCAAACCCAAGAAGTAGTGGTAATGTAAAAAAGCAGAATGGGGCCACCCGTATTTACACAAGCATGGGGCCAACCCGAAACTTTAAGAAAAACAAATTGCATTTCAAAGCCCCAGTGGATCACAGTAGGGTGGAGCAAATGGCGAAAATCGGAGAGATCTTTTTCATCTCTTTCCCGGAAACTGATGCCACATGTTACCATAGCTGCCACATAGAGACACAAAGGCTACTGTGCACCTCATGCCTTTGGCATAGCTGTTCACGTGAACCCCAAGCCCATGGTACGTAAGGTACTGGCAGACATTTCAGACAGCCAGCACAACGGTAAACTGCATCACACACGGCGATGCCATAGAACCCAATCAGTCGGTGGATTTGTAGGCCTGAGTAGCGGTGGCTGGATATATCAGGAGTAAAAAAGGGAATACCATGAACATTTCCTGGGAGGACACCAGTTGGCATAAACATGTTGACTGTTTTGAAGGTTCCAAAAAACTTCAGAAAAGTAATGGCACCTAGAGGCTTATACTGATCAGTTTGGGATTGGATGATTGGCCTGTGTTAGTGCCATATAAACTAATTTGAGCTTAGATACATTCCTTCCCTTTTCCTTTGCCTCCTCCTCTGACAGACCTTCTTCCAAAGCCTTCTTCCTCGCAGCCACATAAGCCGAGCTCTTGCGGCTCCTCTGTGCCTTCTTCTCTCTCTCCTCAGGATCCTCAACATCCTTTAGCTTTCTTTTTTCCTTGGTCTTTGTCTCCTTCCCTTCCGTCGAAGTCTTGACCCTCTTCCCACGTCCGTCTGTCTCCTCTGCACCTGCCTTGTCACCTGCACCTGTCTCCTCCACAGCATCCTGTGCCTTCTTGCTTTTCCTAGGCCTTCGTTGCTTCTCCTCAGGTGCACACTCTTCTGTTGTCTCTGCCTTCTTGTCACCTTCCTTGGGCTCAGTCTTCGTTTTGCACATCTTCTTCTCAACCTTCTTATCCTCAACCTTGCCTGTCTCAACCTTCTTTGATCTTGCTCTGGTCTTCTTGGCCGGAGCTCCTTCCTCCTCAGCAGCCTTGGCCTCCTCAATTTTTGCCTGCTTCCTTTTCCTCTTTGGTCCAGCCTCAGTCCCTTCCTTCTTCTCAGCCTGCTTACTGCCTTTCTCCTCAACCTTCTCACTGCCTTTCTTCTCCTCAGCCTTTGCCTTTCCTCTTCCTTTGCCGTTCCTTCTGGAACTCCTAGCTCGGGACTTAGCTGGTCGTGCCTCAAGACTGTCAGCCTCCTCACCATCTTCACTATCAGAATCCTTGCTGTCATCACTGGAAGCCTTTCTTTTCTTGCCTCTACCTCGCCCCTTTCCCCTGCCACGACCTACTCCCTTGCCTTTCTTTGTGGCCTGTTCCTTGGGTGAGATCATTGCCAATGTCTCTAGAACCGATGGGCGGCAAGGATCATCTCGGCCCATGTCATCTTCTACCTTTTCCGTCTCCTTGCCTTCTTCAATCCCACTTTCCAACTCCAAACCCTTAGCCTTTTCCTCACACACCTCCTCGTCTTTCACCTTGCTGCTGGCTGTGCACGTGTGGTCCATGTTTTCCAGAGCGGTCTCACCTTTGACATCCTCTTCCAGATCCTTTTTTGACTCTGCTTCCCCAGAACCAGGAAGATTGCAAAGCACATCAGGGCACTTTATGATGGCATCCTCTTTGGACATACCTTGATGCATCAGTTCCCGAACCACGGCAGGATTCGGAATGCCCTTGTCCTCCGTTGGCCGAGGCCGAGATGCTTCTCCAGCTGGCTCTCCAGGAGTGACTGGGTCGGGGGTCCCCAAGAGCTTTGTAGTGACCATCGCCGCAAACTTCATGGGAGTCTCCGCACTTGGCTCCTGCGCGTTGAAGCGATGCATCTAGAGAAACATGTGGGCTAAGATAGATGTCAGCATCTCTCTCTCTCTCTTTTTCAGTAGCATTTGCGTATATAATAAAAAATATACTACATCCTAATGTACGTATCATAGTATATTATATTATATGATATATAGTCCTGCGATTCAGCGAAGAGGGCATCACCATCCATGCTACCGTTGAATGGTAGGGTCTCAATGTTGTCCATGTTGTTTTTACCTCAAAAAGTTTTAACCCTCAGGATTTTTGGCAGGTAGTGGGAATCTACTGTAAGGACTGCAACAATTAAGATTGTTTTACAAGACATAAGAAAACATATGACTACATTATGGGGTAACATAGCCAAGCTACCAACAAGACTTGAAGGTTCTTCATGGCTGGAAGCTGCATTGGTGTCAGGTTCATCGCTAGGAACAACAATTGTCTTGGATTCCTGTTCTTCCAACTCTTTTAAGTACAGCAATTCCGTGAGCAAATCTTCTTCAAGTTTGAGCCTCTCCAGCTCTTCCTTCATGACTTGTTCTTTGGGGACGACTGCAATCATCACAGGAAAATCTCGTGTGGTCGGAATCCTTTCACAGGAAAACTCACCCTCAAAGAACACAAGCCTAGTCTTGGCCCCATCTTGGTGAACCAGTTCCCATGTCTCATCAAGCCTGTGGCCAATCATGTCATGCACTTTCGCTGGCCAATCAGGGGTAAACTCGATCAACCTAACCTTGGGCTCAAGTTCCAGCTTGCCAGGAATGATGGGTGACCTCCCACGTCTGGTGCATGGCTGAGACGTGATGATCTCAGCCTCCCGAGCTGCGATCCCACAAGTGCGACATTCAAAAAACCCTTCATGGATTTGAAGATCGTGCTTGTAGACCTTCTCAGTGCTCCGCATGTCCACCAGCACTGGCTCTCCTTGGAACAAATCTATCCAAATGGAAAATTAGATGGTCGAACATGTATATATAACAATTTATATATTATTGTATATATAGAGTGCATTATATATATATACGAGATAGCCCAAAGCCCCCACTCACATTCCAAAATGCGACCAAAGTCTCCACGTGGAGATGGGCACCGGGTGGGTGCAACTGAAGAGGGCGTCACGGCCTCTGAGGCAACCTTCAAGTCAGCCATCTTCACAGAAAGTCCAGAAGAACCTGCACATGTGGCAGCATGGCAGCAGGTCCGGTGGATAGGAGGTTGATGAGGAAAGATGTTCCAAAAAATAATGGCATTGGTCCATTGGTGCAGGTCTTGATAGTACCATTTTTATTGTTAAGACCCCCATCTTGGACAATTGTTGATTGATACAGGACCCCTACCTGCATCCTTGGCATCAATCGAATCATCACCAGCATCTTCTGGATCAACTTCCAGGTCCTGAGTCGGACAAGGAACAAATACCAAATCTTGAATATAGATCTACTGTATATGAAAATAAATGTGTTTTATGTAAATGTCCGTGTGTATGCAACTATATGTATGCAAATGCATTTTGAAAAAACAAATTTTGTTCAAGATATATAGATTCACTTGATGTTTTGAGTGGATAATTTGAGGGTCAAGAGAGGCCAAGCAACTGTAGTCTCGACAGAGCTTTCCTCCCCTTCATCATCAGAGGAAGTTGGCGAAGCCTGGTGAGAACCTGGGCAAACAGATACAATATTACATATATTATATATTAATTATATAAACTATTATGATTATGATACCCCCATTTCCAAACCTCACGCATTAATGTCTCTGATTTCAGTAAACTGTTTGTAATTGAACTGCAGTTTGGGGACCGGGGGCAGATGGCAAAGGGATCTCCGCTTCTTGGTAAATTCGGCGAATGGCAGCCTCCCGTGGGTAATGCCCACGCTTCGCATGACGGCTGAAGATCGACACCAACCTCTTGATTTTCCAGGATTCAAATCGAACAGCCTGACCTGTAGTGGCTGGATGTAAGGCCCTATTCACCAGGGATATAATATATAATATAATATGATAGGGACATCGGTTGATACCAAAAAATGGCGAAGTGGTCTAGTTTATTAACGTACATGTGAATCATACATCTTCCGGGTCCTGATCCACAAAACATTTCAATATGTAATTCAGATGAGGGGCGTGGGACTTCGTTTTTCCCCCTTGGGCGGGCCCAATGGAGAAAGATCTCCACATGCTCATAGATGGCATCGATGGTGGTTCGCACACCCAATACTTTGAGCACTGGGCAAATCACCTCTTCATTGGTAATCAAATCTTCACGGGTGATACTTTGATTGGGGCATACCACCAGCCGACCCTTTGAAGCCCGAGCAATGAGGGCATCACTCTTAGACCAGGATTCAGCGACAGGTGATGATATACTCCTTGACGACATGGCAAAAGGACCACTTAAGCCCTATTTCCACCCTGAAATTGCTGAAATGCTGCCAGCAGAAGAAACCATTGGTGATAAGACCATGTCCACACACAAGTCCCAATCCTTTCAAACATGAAATTGATTAAGATCCACCATCACCACCCATCATCAAAAACAAAGTGGGAGGGGGGCTGGCACCTCAACATGATGCCATCAACCTGTACCTGCCGCACCCAGGTATGCTTCAAAGAATGTCTATGCCCTCTCGTGTGCACAATGCATACAGCACCTGCTGAAGGGCGCACTGGGAAAAAGGGCACAGGGAGGCAGGTTGAAAACAGAGCCAAAATGGCTCAATCATCCCAAAATTCTTATCATCATGAAAAACGCTCGAATTTCCAGAAAGTGCTCGAGAGAGCCAATTTGCGCTACAACCTGGGAAAAACGCTCCATAAATCAGTTTCTGTATCGAATGACCACTTCGCCAAAAATTTTTGTATCAAACAATGTCCCTGGGATATATAATATTGTATATCATACATTGAACATCCAGTGTTGCTATTTGGACATAGCTTGCTTTCGAAGTTCTGCAAAGTGGTTGTGGTTCTTTTCACCGTGTGGGCCGTGACTGCGTTGGTTCTTTTGGAGGTGCCCAATTTGTGTCTCCGTAGCTTCCTTTCAAGACGGACCCTGCACCGCATCTGCAATCTGCGGTACCACTCATCTTGACATGAAACCCTGGCCAGCCTGATCAACAGCCAAATCTCATGTTGCGCAAAAGAAAGCCAATGATAAATGATAAATAAACCGTCGACAAATCTGTGTATTGTTACAGACTGCACCTAATTCGTGCCGCTGGATAGCGCAAAGGATTCGCTGCCTCATGTCGGTCTCTGTGGATATTCCTGGACATGGTCACTTTGATATCAAACTGACTGCTTCGAGCACCGCTGCTGACATTATTTTACTGCTACGTGAGCGTTTGCCAGACAGCCCATGGCATGGGAACAAGTTGCTGTCAAGTGGGGTCTGCCAGCTACAGTGCGATGACATTGTGGAGGCACCCCGCCACAGCACTTTAGTCTTGACAAACTACTCAGAGATCACCAACCAGGAGAGAAACCTGCAGCTTTGTTTCTTTTTCAATAGGTAATGCAGACCATGCCAAGTAGCAAATCACGATTAGAAACTAAATGCCAACAAGTACCAAGTGCGACAAGTGCAGCTGTGTGATGGACCCATTCATTTTTTTGTTTTGGGATTCAGTGGTTTAAACGCATTTCGACCGTGGCTTGTGAGATCTACTTGATAGTGGGGGAACAGTCGGCCACTGAACAGGCGCCTTTGTGCATTGAGAACATGTGAAGCAAAGGCTCTATTGTCGATAGAATAAAGAGAAACTTCAGCGGCATATCCTTGAGACCATGTGAAAGAAAGGCAATATAATATAACCAATAGGCTCAAATAGAATAAAGAGAAACCGTATTTAAAAGTCAATCGTTTGAAATTCAGAGATTGCAGGCCCATGATTCCCATGATTGAACCTTTTGAGGGTACTGTAGTACTGCACAATGCTTTTTGAATTCCATTCCAATTTCATTTGCTGCATTTGTTGGTGGACCCGTCGAAGGAGGCTTTCTGCATCAAAGATACTGCAGAGCGAGGGATCACTCGCGAACAATTAAGGCAAAGATTGTTGTTTTCATCTCCAAGATGGCTGACAGATGGTGCGAGACTTTCGGAGAACAGCGTGGGACAAGGCTGCAGTTTGAGACCTTCAACCTGTATGATGCGAATCACTGGATCATCAAACCAGCCACCGAAGCCTGGATTTGTTGACGATGTGACAACATTTTCCAATTTGAAGAATCTACCGTTTTTCTTTTTTAATTGGCAACATTATGTAGAATCCCAGGACGGCTATGCGAAAAAGGGCTGCAGCATGGTTGAGATCATGGCGATTCAAGTGCAGAGACCTCACTGGTTTGTGTCACATGCTTGGATCGAGCCTTGGATAGGCAAACTCTCAAGGTTGTTTGAGACCGTGCTATTGCATTGTCTGTCAGCAACAAGTTTCTTTTTCCATCCGGGATCAAATAACAGCTACATAAAGGGGAGGACTTGGGCTACAGTACAGATTGCCAGCCAGGGGTCGTTTTGTACAAAAAAATGGAGTTGGGCCAACCTTTTTGTATTTGCATTCATTTTGTGGTTGTTTCCTTTCAAATCCTCATTTGTATTTTGTAGTTGTATATGTTGAGTTAGTTGAAGCATCCAACACAAAATATCATTTGCATTTTGTAGTTGTACAAGTTGAATAGGTGAAGCATCCAACATGAAATCTCATGTGCATTTTGTATATACTATGTTGAGGAAGTTGAAACATCAATAAAATATGTACGATTTAGTTCGACGTCACGACGTCACCCCCAAAATGTTTAATTACTGAAATTATGTTGGTCGGAACTTTGGATGGCATAGGCCCAACTACAAAATGTTATTGGGAAAATTCATGTTGGCATTTCCGATTCTCAGCTATTTTTCAACTTCAGATGCATTGGTTTTTGTATAGTGCATATTTTGAATTATTTTCCGAGTCAAATTAAGTTGTGTTCTGCATTTTGTAGCTGCAAAAAGGTACCATGAACCACGCATCGAATTTGGTAGTTGCGCACCCTATGCTTTGTGTCTTGTACCTATCAAAGTCCTCTGCACAACTCCTCCCCCCTTATCTGAACCCTGATCTTTTTCCGCTAATAATTCACATTCCCCTAGAAGCCTTGGTTGAGTTTTGGACTTGTTCATTTCGGAACCTCAACAGGATGCTGTATCAAAAAGAAATGAACATCCAGCGTAATGATAGATGAAAGTCAATCTATTGCTTTGAAGCACGTCCAATTTTGTGTTGGGCAGATCTGTGAGGAGCCTGTTTGTAAGTTTCTGGCCTGCTTGGAGCAGCATGCTCTGGTGCGAGAACTCTCAAGCAGTACATTCTATTGGGTCTGTGCATATGCCAATAACCAGCACTGCGTGGAAGAGGATATCAAAAGCAACCCGCGCAGCACTTCATTCTACAGAGCTATGCAGATGTCTGAGGGAGTTCTTTTGGTGCTGGATTCAGCATTGGCAAATGCAGAAGCTACAGCAGCGTCCAAGTTACGCTTGGAGGCGTGGAAGGACAGCGTGCAGGAAAATGCCACCAAACTAGGCAGGTGGGTCAAACAGGTGCCGCCCGCCAGTCCTACTGCAAGTTTTGATGGCCCCATTCTACCTGCAGATAGGGCCAAGTGCGCAGCATTGGATTGGGAGAGGTATTGGAATCCAGGGTCGCTTCCGAATTTGAATCTGGGGGACCAGTTGTACTCTCAGATTGGCTCTGCAAGCGATCCATTGCCGGATGACTGTATTCAGGTTAGTGGTTCTGAATTGGTTCGGATTGCGCTCAAAGCGAAGGACAAGGCTCCGGGCATGGATGCCTGGACAGCTCTCCATTTGTGCAATCTTCCCATTGCTTTTTGGGATCAGGTCGGTGCTCTTTGGGATGCTTGCTTGCGACATGGCTGTGTTCCTGCGATGTGGAAAGATGTTAGAATTGCTTTGTTACCAAAAGCTACTGGTGGCATGCGCCCTTTAGCCATTGTCACTGTCCTGTGGCGTATTTGCATGAGTGCCACTCTGAAAAAATTACAGCCTTGGATTGCGGAATGGGCTTCGCCCGAACTTTTTGGTGGTCTACCAGGCAAGGGCATCATGGAAGTCCATGAACGTTTCTACGAAGCTGTCAGCGCGGCAAAGCAGTCTCGTGTCGATTTGGTCGGGTGCAAAGCTGATGTTCGCAAGTGTTTTGATTCAGTTTGCCCTCAGACAGCCATTAAAGTGTGGCGATGGTTCGGTGCTCCCTCATCAATTTGTGATTTACTCGCTGATTTTTACAGTGAACAGCGTCGTTGGTTTGCTTGGCAAGGTTCTTATCACCCTCATCCGGTTATTGCTCAACGGGGTTTGTTGCAAGGCTGTCCAGCCAGCCCTGCGCTACTGAACGCTTTGATGACAGTTTGGGTGAGGTTTGTCAAACGGCAGGAACCAAGGATTTCTTTGGCTATTTATTTGGACGATCGCACCATGTGGAAACAAGGTTGTCAAAGTTTTGAAGTGGTCATCAACGCCATGACTGCGGGAGCGCAAGCCGATGCTATTCTCGGCTTCGAACTTCACCCTGACAAATTGGCTAGCTTCGCCACCAAACCGCATCTGGTTGCCAAGGTGCGCAAGAAGAAAGATTTAGTAGGTGTACCTGCGGATACTTTCACACTGCTTGGCATTCAATACAATTTGTCACGCCCCAGTTCTTGTGTTGATGCGGATATTGTCAGTGACAACATTCAGCGACGGTGTCTCAAAATTCGTTTGGCAGCACAGCACTTAGGCACTCGCATTGCATTGGTGCATAAGTTGGTGATATCTTTATTTGCTTGGTCCGGTGCTTTTCATCACTTCAGTGCAAGAACCATTCGAACATGGACATCTATGATCGAAACTGCACTTTGGGGTCGAAGGGCTCCTCCAGGTAGGAGCCGGCTGCTCTTTTGGAATTCTTTGGGTTCTGCAAGACTACATCCGATGTTTGCGCTCCAGTTCACCGCCGCCCGGGCGGAATGGAATCGGCAATGCCGCCGTGCCCAAGGGTTGCCTGCAGCTACCTCGCCTGCTCCTCGCTGGAAAGCAGTGCTCAAAGATTGGAAATGGCGACTTGACGATGGCCTGTGGCACACGCCTGCTGGGATTTTGAAACCTGGGTGGATGTCTTTGAAAAGCTTGCAAAAGGCCGCTATCCATTCATGGCTCGTTGGTTTGTGGACTAAAGACACCAAAACGGATGGTCGATGGCCAAACGGCAAGGAGCCGGTTTTCCTTTTTCAGGCAAATGCAGCTTTAGGCATGGATTACTACAGTCGCAGGGTTTTGACTGGTGCTGCAGTGGATGGCAGGGTCACAGAGCGCTTTGGTTCTGCTTTGAGTTGTGAATGTGGATTGCGGTCTCCTGATCGAGAACATCTCACTTTTCACTGCCAAGCGCAGCCATGGGATGGTGAGTTCAGGAGCGCTACTGAACGTCGTTTGCTGGTTCCACTTGTGGATGCTCCTCCTGTGTTGCCTTTTTCCAACATGGTTGCAGATCCTGCTTTGGTTACTTTTATTCAGCAATTCGATCCTCTTCAGCGACCCACCTTGGGTTTGGACGGCAGTTGTATCATAGCTACTTCCTGTGATCGATGGCAAAGAGCTAGCTGGGCGGTTTCGACACTTTCAGGCACCACTGTTCAAGGTGCCGTGACTGGTTTTGAGCAAACACCTGCTGCAGGTGAGCGTGCTGCTCTTCTGCAAGCTTGTTTAGCCTCTTCTGCAGCTAACAGACCGGTGATGCTCTTGATTGACAAT